CTACTCACCAGCTAAGTGACCTTGGACAAGTTATTTCTTCCTTTCTGGCCTCAACTGTTCTGCACAATGGAGGGGTTGGAGGATGACCCTTACAGTTTCTCCCAACTCCAAATCCTCTGCTCTACCAGGTGCTCAGTCCTAGACTAATGTAATCCTCTCATCAAGGCCCCAAAGGCCCCAAAGGTATAAAGTTGTCACTTGACCTCCACCACTGACTTCTGCAGAAATATGGGAGAAATTTCCCACTGAATAGCACCTAATCACCTCTCTCAAGCAGATTGGCCACAACTGATCAACAAACGTTTGTTAATCTCTTACTACATGCCTGGCACAGTGCTAGATACTGGAGATAATTTTTTTTTTTGAGGCAATTGAGATTAAGTGACTTGTCCAGGGTCACACAGCTAGTGAGTGTTATGTATCTGAGGCTGGATTTGAGCTCAGATCCTCCTGCCTCCAAGGCCAGAGCTCTACCCACTGTGCCACCTAGCTGCCCTGATAATTTTTTTTAAAGTGAAAACAGTACTTGCCCTCAAGGAGCTTATATTCTAATGAAGAGCCAACTTATCAGAGGAAGGTTTTACGAAAAGCATTTTTAAAAGAACTGTATATTCTGCAACAAATAACTTATCTAAATTCTCAAAGATCATAGAAGCTTAGATTTCAAGCTGGAAGAGACCTTCTTAGAGGCCTCCAGGTCTAAACCTCTCATTTTACAGATGAGGAAACTGAGGCAGAAGAGATGTTAAGCCACTTGCCCAGGCTCACACAGTTATTGTCCAGTTCCCTATCCTCTACAGCATACTGTGGTGAGCATTTCTCAATGTCTGTTAGAATCCCAGTGCAAAAAGTCACAGGCTTTAGACCTGGAAGAAATCTGAGAAATCATCTAGTTCACCTCCCTCATTTTACAGAAGAGGAAACTGAGGCCCAGTGGGGGGAAATGCCTTGCCTAAGGTGACATAGCCAGGAAATAGCAGAGCCACGGTTTGGATCTGTATTTCTAATTCCGAGTCTGTAAAGTGGCCCATGCCTGCTGCTCCAGCTTCTGGACTAAAGCAGGTGTCTGCACTGCTATTTCCTCAGGGCAGCCAAGTGGAAGGAAGCCCTCGCGGGAGTCGGAGGACCCCAGTCTAAGCTCCCCTGTACCTGGTACAGGCAAGTCACTTCCTTCCCTGGGCTTCAGTTTCCTTCATAAAATGATAATAGTGTGTGTACTCCCCACCATACAAGGTTGTGAGGAAGAAAGAGCTTTGAACATCTGTAGAAGTACAAGCTATGATTATTTTTATAGGGGGAGTATCTTTGTGCTGCTTTTACAGAGGGACTCACCCACTTCCTTTATGGGAATATAGATTTATAGCTGGGAGGGACCTCCTGTTGTATACCCCTTCATTTTACAGATGAGGAGAAAGGAAATTGAGGCCAAGGAAGCTAAAATGGCCAACACTAGATCACACAGGCAGTTAGTGGTTGGGCCAGGATTGGAACCCAAGCCGCCTGACTGCAGATGGAAGGCTCCTTCCACAGGGCTGCTCATTCAGCAGCAGAACATATGCACATATACAACAATACATGCATGCACTATACATGTTTACATACATATACACATCCACACAGACATGCTCACACACATATAAATGTTGTTCCATCATTTCAGTTGTGTCTGCCTCTTCATGACCTCATTTGGGGTTTTCTTGGCAAAGGTACTAGAGTGATTTGCCATCTCCTTCTCCAGCTCATTTTTCAGATGAGGAAACTGAGGCAAAGAGGGTTCAGTGACTTACCCAGGGTCACATAGCTAGTAAGTGTCTGAGTTCAGGTTTGAACTCAGGAAGATGAACCTTCCTGACTCCAGGCCTGGTGCTCTATCCACTGTGCCACCTGGCTGCCCATTCATTGTATACACACACATATATTCATATATACATACAAACACATACATATATACATGTATGTATATTTATAGATATGTGTGTATTTATATAAATATATGCTGAGGTATATGTATACACATAAACACATGTATATGTGTATGTGTTTCTGTGTGTATATATACACCAGCATACATATATATACACGCATCTCTCTCTCTCTCTCTCTCTCTCTCTCTCTTTTTCTCATTCACTACCCCAGCTTCCAGAGAGAGAGAGATGGATGGATAGACAGATACTTAGATATCTCTGTGGAAACTAGTGTACTACGTAGAGATATATATATATATATATATGGATACATCTCTATACATACACACCTATACGTGTGTGTGTGTGTGTGTGTGTGTGTGTGTGTGTGTGTCCTCCCTTGGACTTCCATCTCTCCTTTCTCCCTCTGCTGCTGCCTGGAGAAGGTGATGTCACAGACGCAGACCTCCCTCCAGATGTCCTTGTTGTATAGCCAAGGCCAAGTCACGCTTTGTCACAAGCCCTCAGGGCTTCAGCTTCCTCTCCCTTAGAACTGAGTTAGTTACCTTTGAACCTCCAGTCTCTTAGCACTGTTGTGATGTGATTGCTTCACAAACCTTAAGATGTTTTGTGAACATGAAGTTTTGAATGGCTGTGATGGTCGCCCAGGGGAGCGAGCCCCCTCGGCCTGTGTGTGTTCTGGCCTAAGTCCGGAGCAGTCTTTCTGCGCCACCTTCTACAGGAAGCCTTCCCTCATGTGCTGTTATTAGCACTTTCACTCTCCCGAAATCACCTCGAATTGTTTTGAACAAACTTTGTATTTATTTACTTGGGAACATGTTATATGCGCACCCCCACCCCCAGTAGATTATAAGCCACTCAAGGGCAGGGACCTTTGGGGCCCAGAGTATAGCCTTAGTTGATAGTATAGTGGCTTGCACACAGTAGGTACTTTAAAATGTTTACTGAACTGAATAATAATAACAGCTAATATTTATATAGTGCTTGACTAGATGGATAACTGGGCACCTAGGTGGCAGAGTGGATACAGTACCAGGCCTGCAGTCAGAAAGACTCACCTGGAGTTCAAATCTGGCCTCAGACACTTACCAGCTGTATAACCCTGGGAAAGTCACTTAACACTGTTTGTCTCAGTTTCCTCATATGTAAAATGAACTGGAAAAGGAAATAACAAATCACTCCAGTACCTTTGCCAGGAAAACCCCAAATGCAGTCACAAAGAGTCAGAAACGACTGAACAACAACAAAAATATATTGCCCGCTATATGCCCAGTACTTTGCTAAGTGCTTTACATCTTATTAGATCTTCACTACAAGCCTGGGAGGAAGTGCTATTGTCATCCCTATTTTACAGTTCAGACAACTGAGGCATGCAGAGGTTAAATGACTTGCCCAGGGTCACACAGCTAGTAAAAGGCTACATTTGAAATTAGGTCTTCCTGATTCCAGGCCCAGTGCTCTATTCACTGTACTACCTAGCTGTCTTAATTATGCCTCAGCCCAGCCAAACCGTCTTTCCAAGGCCTACTTGCAAAAAGTTGAGGTATCTTTCTCCAAAGGGCCAACTTGAATCAGAAAATTGAATTAGTTCTTTGGACAAGTATTTGTTGTTGTTCAGTTATTTCAGTCATGTCTGACTCTTTGTGACCCTATTTGGCATTTTCTTGGCAAGAATTCAGGAGTGGTTATTCCTTCTCCAGCTCATTTTACAGATGAGGAAACTGAGGCAGGGTTAAGTGAGTTGCCCAGGGTCACACAGCTAGTAAGTGTCTGAGTCCAGATTTGAACTGGGGAAGATGAATCTTCCCGACTCCAGGTCCAGAACTCTGGACTTAGAACCATACTAAGTCGTGTTCATCACATTCCCCACCTGTCACCCTCCACAGATTGGAATCTTCATGCATTTCACGTAGGAAAAAGAACACTGGATTGGAAACCAGCTCCGGGCTTATCTGTGTACAAGGCACATGTTCTCGGCAAGTGACTTCACTACTTGGCTTCGGTTTCCTATTCCTAAATCATGCTCTGGGAAAATCAGAAGAGAGGGGAATCAGTCATTTTCAGCCATGGATGGTGGTAAGGGGAGGTTAGTGACTTGTACAAGCTAATTCTGCTAAAAAGCATCAGAGCTAGGCTGGGCCCTACTGCATTCTACCTAGAACCATACTAAGTCGTGTTCATCATATTCCCCACCCGCCACCCTCCACAGACTGGAATCTTGATGCATTTCACATAGGAAAAAGAACACTGGATTGGAAACCAGCTCCGGGCTTATCTGTGTACAAGGCACATGTTCTTGGCAAGTGACTTCACTACTTGGCTTCGGTTTCCTATTCCTAATTATCTCTTGGGTCTTTTCTCGCTCAAATATTCTGTGATTCAACTTTCAAATGGTCTGATTGTCCAAGAAGAAGGGCTGGGTCCTGTCTTATCTTTGTATGCCTACTGTCTCACTCAGGGCTTGGCACAGAGTTAAGTACTTAATATTTATTGAATACAAGTTAACCAACAAATAATTACACTACATCCCTCCTTTCCTGTCCATTGGTTTTTCTTAATCATTTTTCTTTTTGACAATGCTGTTGGCGCAAGAGGAGAAGACACTCCTGATTTTTCTTTGTTTCATATGGTAAGCACTTTATAAAAAGTTATTGAATGAATGAAATCCAGCATTTTCCCCACTATATTATACTGGGAGAAGAACTAGAGGGCCAGGGATGTGTGGCAACTAAGGGGCAGATAAGATGCAGATAAAGAATACCTTAGGAGTAATGGGCCACAGGTACATCCCACTGCAGGGATGAGGCAGATGTTCAGGTAAGCAAGGGAGGCTTTACCCGTTTTCATGGGCTGCCTGCTCTGAGGCAGAGGATGAATGGAATGACTGCCAGGCATAAGGTTTTGGGCCACAGAGCAAGCAATGATGTCAGTAGGAGAGGGCCCAGGCTCTTGCACGCCTGCTGGGCTCAGCCTTTGTTGTTCTTGGCACTAAATACAGGTGACATCTTAGGGTGTTAAGTCTCATTCTTTCCTTCTTCCTGATGGTTTCTATCCAGCCCGGGGTTGGCTGCAGGGCCGGAAGTGAATTCCTCTGCTGGTCAGACCCAGATCGCCTGTCTCTAAAGGATGGCCAAAAAGCAGGGAAGAGTGTGCCTGGTGAGTCCCTCTGGGTCACCCCGAGTCCTGTCTGTGCCTTGTTATTATTCTCATCCCTCTTCCGTTTCTATTCCCCAGAAGCTGGCCTGTGGCAACTCTGCACCGAGCAACAGGGACCACCCAGGACAGGAATTCCAGGTCAGGGCTTGTGTCCGGCTCTGGGGAGAGCAGGAAGGCCTTTCATTGGAGAACAGAGAAGGACCAAGAATGTGGGCCACAGGGGCGGGGAGAAGTGTGAATGTGTTAGTGGGGGGTTTAAAACCAGGCCTGGCTGAAAAACATGCTCCCTAGAGGCAGTTTGATGAGGTGGCAAGAAGGGTAGATGAGCCCTGGGTGTGAAGCCTGGCCCTGATATTTCTCTGCTGGGTGGTTATGAAACAAGCTGCTTCCATTCTCTCAATGAGAAGTTACTCACCCTCCTTACCGCACAGGGTTGTTTTGAGGTTGTTCTGAGGTCACTTTGCAGGTTTTCAGGCACTCTAGAAACATGACTGTTAGGTCCATGTCAGACATCCAGGGCCACAAAAGGAGGTGGGGGACTGTGGGGGACCTCAGTTGGCCTAGGAAAGGGGCAAGCACACAGCCACTTTTAAAGGGGGCTGACAATTTGGATATGGACCCAGAAAAAAAACCAACCAACCCTAAACACCCAAAGGACTGCTTTCTGTGTAACCTTAGCCTAGATCTACAGCCGTTGGGGCCTGGTTGTCTAGGACTGGCTTCTTCTCCCTCTGTCATTGTACTCTCTCTCTCCCCTCAATGTATCTGCTACTGACCACCTTGCCCTTCGGCCTCCATGGTCCCCAACCTCTCTGGGTAAAGGAGGAAAATAGGTTTCATTATCTGTTCTCCACTATCAGGATTCCTGTCTGGTTTACTCATTTGTGTTCATGTGCCTTGCTCTTGGGGGTGAGGACTGGGGATAGGTAGTTAGATGATAAGTTGGTAGGAATGGTCAGAATTCCAGCAACCTCAGCCTGTGATCAGAAGGCTTTCTCAATGGTTAAAAGTGAGTTCAGGATCATAAACCAAGGAATGAGTTTAGTCCATAATTGCCAGGCAGCCAAATCCCAAATCAGCAGGAAAGCCAGATAAGAAAGTCAGCATTCTCTTTTGGGAGCTACAAGATAGCTTGGGCTCCTGGCTTACAGATGATCATGGGAACATACTGGAACTTTAGTTACTAGTTAGATTAACTATCAAGATTATTCTGGAGAAATGCTTGTATATATGTTTTCTATGGCCCACGATTTTTTTTCCCGTAGTTTCTGTATATGACTCTTTTCCTTTGTGGATAAAGCCTAGGAAATATACTCTTGTGGTCTGGATCATGTAATAGCAGAAGGAAGAAAGAGAGAGGCAAATGCATGGGAGAATCAGTCGGTGAGAAATGGTGGCCACAGCAGAAGGAGGATTAGCCTTAAGTAGTGAGGAACTGGTAAGGGGTAGGGGCACAAGTCTCTGGAACTAGGGTATGCACATAAACAAACCTAAGGCTCAGGAAGGGCCAGGAATTTCAGGATCTTGTGGGGAAACATCAAAAAAAGAAAGTTTGGGTCCAAGGGTTAGACTTCCTGGAACACATCTAAGAAGGGCTAATGGCTAAAGAGGCCCAGGAAAGACTCCTTTCCAGAGCTATTAGGAGGAAAAAGCAGGATTTTGAGCCAAAAAGACCTGAGTTCAAATTCTACTTCTGACACTCATGGTCTTGACCTCTTAGAGCCTCAGTTTTATCACCTGTAAAATGGGGATGATAATTATAACTAAAGTGCCTCACAGGGTCATTGTGAGGCTGATATATTCAAAGTGCTTTGCAAATCCTTAAGGTCCTATGTAAATGCCAGATAGTATCATACATCCACTTTTTCTTATTCAGAGTCCAGACCCCAGATGATGTTGACCTTCTATCCCAAATGTTACCACCCCATCTTTACTGCTACTACCCCATGAGCCGTCTGGCAGCTGTTGCCTCCTCCCAGTTCTGCTTAGACCAAAGACCTCCTCCGTGGGGCTCAGACACCTGGCAGAGATACACCTAGGGACAGACCTGTTGACTGCCCATTCTGCCTCATCTCCAGCCCCTCCCAAGGCCAAGCTGGTCACCAGGAATATCCTTCAGTACAGCTTTTTAGGATGTTAAGTTCTGTGTATGTGGCCCTGAAGTACAGTGGTTAGTTTATCACAAACTCACTTATTTAGGGAACAACTGTTTTTAAATATGAGAAGCATTATGGACAGGAAAAACTAGTAGATAAATAGAGCATTTATTAGCATACTACGTTCTAGGAACTATGCTAAGTGTTGATTATACAAACAAGAGCAAACAAGACTGTCCTTGTACTCAAGGACCTTATTTCTGATGGGGGGAAGATAACATATAAAGGAGGTCTGGAAAAGAGAAAAGGGAACCCACATCAGTTTTTTCCTGTGGATCCCCAAAGTAACTAACTCATTTGGTAAGAAGAATGGGGCACTGAAACATACTGTAAACCCAAATTATTCATATTTTTATTTATGAGAGAAAAAAATAAACTTATAAAAACAAAATAACAATAATTCATTTGACATGGTTCTCTCTCTGGCCACCCCCGCCCCCCATATAAATCTACCTGTTTTCTCTGGGCTTACAAAGCTTGTTGGAGGTTGGTTTTATACAGTCGAGCTCTGTGATTTCATTTGTGTAGGGAATTCTCAATGAAGAAAGTTCCTCTACCAATGCAATTTGGCAACTGTTTTACAACTTACAGTCTTATAGAACTGCCTGTGGTGTTGAGAGGGTAAGTGACTTACTTAGGGTCACACAGGCTGCATGTGTCAGAGGTAAGACACGAACTGAGGTATTCCTGCCTCCAAGGCCATTTCTCTATCCCACAACCACACACTGCCACTTATTTTTAAAAAGCTAGCTATGGTCAATGTGCGCTGTTAGTAGTCTAATTCTGTTCTCTTTACATCATTTCACAAAAAGCTTTCTATATGAAGAAATATCTCAGAGCCTGCATATCTGTCATTTGTAATGAGAGTATCCCATTGCATTGATGTACTATAATTTATTTTGCCTTTCCCCAGTGGTTGGGAAGTGTCTGAGGCTGCATTTGAACTCTGGTCTTCCTGACTCCAGGCCCAGTGCTCTCTGGAGCCACCTAGAGCATGAGGAAAGGAGACAGTGGGCCTTGGAGAGAGCCCTGGCTGGTGAGACAGTAGGTACACAGTTTCCAGGCAGAGCCAAGGCACAGATGGCTTTTGGGTGTGTTTTTTAACACTACACCATACTGCCTCCCCATGGTGGGATCTGGGTAGATCTAGGTTTCTGTTAAGGCAGAAGGAACGCAAGAGACAAAAGGTCAAAATAAAGGGCAATTTCTGTTTTTCAGACTTACAAAGGAAGGAAGAGTCAGTGAAGAATGTATACACCGGGGTGGCATTTCCTATTTCTACTGCCAGCACCCTATGAGAAACTCTCAAAAACATCCACATGGTCTGTGGCAACAATCTACTAATTTTTTCTCTAGTTCAATAGTAAGGTTATCCATAGGCACGTGGGATGAAAACAGAATTTCTGTTTCTATTTATTTTATCTAAAAACTACTTTATTTATGCTTAATATATGAATTAGTATGAGTGCCTATTATTGGTCCACAGATGAGATAAAAGGTATCCTGGAGGGGAGGGGTGGGCGGCTCACAATGTGAAGGGGATGACAAGCGGCGCCCTCATTCATTTGCTCACTTTCAGCATAATATGACATGTTTAGTTATAACTGGACTTATGAATTATTATTTTATCTAGGCTTAACTACAATAACCTTCATAAAATGGACAAGTCATTTAATGAGATTCCAGCAAAGAACAAATTCAAGAGAATACTAATAATGCTTCAAGTACAATTCAACAATATGAAAATGGCAACACTGGCCCCTGTCCAGCTCTTAGTATGGGTTCTTGGTCAGCCCCATCACAAAGCAACCACAAAGACAATTTAAAACCGAGTCACCTGAATATCTTCCAAAAGATCGAGAATATTACTAGACATATGGATTTATACACAATACCATTATCAATGAACCTCACCCTAAATGTACATTGTGCCTTGAGATCTTACTAATGATGGAAGTCATCTCAATTAACAAGACGCTTAGAAAACAAGCATTTGTTGTCAAAAAATGTCACCTATGAAAACTGATAGTGGTAGACTTTAAAAACATGAAAACAGAATTTTAAAATGTTACAAAAGAAGAATATCATTGGGTTTTGAACCTGCTTGCTAAAAATTTAAAAATGCAACTTTCTGATTCGTTGCAAAAGCAAACACAAGATGATGAAAATTTACTTGTTAAATCACAACAAAAATTTTTGCATAATTGGTGGACAGGACTGAAAAATGGATATCATCATTTATTCACTGCAGCCAATAACGCACTTCTCCCATTTGGGTCGACGCGTCTTTGTGAGGTTTCTTTTTCAGACACAACAGCCATCAAAATCAGGTTTAAAAATAAACAATCTATGGGCAGCTAGGTGGCAGTGGATAGAGCGCTGGCCCTTTAGTCAGGAAGACCTGAGTTCAAATCCAACCTCAGACCAAACACTTGACATTTACTAGCTGTGTGACCCTGGGCAAGTCACTTAACCCCAACTGCCAAAAAAATAAATAAACAACCTAGAACTAGACCTTCAAATTGTTCTCTCACTGAGTGAAGAACTAAGATTTTCAAAAATTTTGAAATAGATTCAACCACATTGCTCCAACTAAAAGTATTATTATTAACACTTAACAAAAGCATTTGTATCATTAACAAAGTCCCTATTTTTAAAACAGTTCATCTATCTTACACTTAATTTCTATTTTTGTGTTTTACAATTCACATATTAGTATAGTAGTTATAGGATTATAGATCTAGAGGTGGAAGGGACCTTAGAGGGCATCAAGACAACTCTCCTCATGTCACAGATGAGGAAACTGAGGTCAAAGAAGGTGACTTGCTTCACTCCTGAGCCAGTGTTTTTTCCATTCACATAGATGTGTGTACATATAGATGTGTATATGCACACATTTATTTTCCATTTCATATATGTATATGTATATATATATACATACACACACATATATGTATATATATATATATATATATATATATATATATATATATATATATATATATATATATACCCCCACACATCCACATACCCACACTTTCCATTTTTCATGTTTTTTCCATTTCATGTACACTTACACATACACACCTGGATAGATACACATGCTTATATATAGGGTACCTCCTTAAAACTTTTTAAACTGATAGCCAAAAATAATTTTTAAAAATTTGGAGAATGGACCCTGTGGTAGAAGAATTACCCCAATCCCTGCCCCCATGCAGGCCAGGCTGGATTTTTCCTTATAAGGTATTACACCATCCTCAAGGCCATTGGCTCAGGTGTCTAAAGGCTCAGGCTGTTGACTGCTTCCTGGACATCCAAGCACAGAAGAGACATCAGGAGCTCCAGGCACCCTTTCATACTTAACTAACACAACTTAGTGGGCAACTCAAGCAAGAGAACTTAGCTTAGCTAAGTCAACTCAAGGTGCCTTCAAAGCCTATCCTTGTTTTCTACTGTAATTTTCTGCTTATTTTCATTTCCAATTTCTCTCTCTCCCTCCACCTCCTCCCACTTCCACTGAGAAGGTAAGAAATATGATGCCCATTACATATATACGAAGTCATGTAAAACATATTTCTGCATCAGCCATGCTCTGGGGGAAAAAAGCAAGAAAAATAAAGGGAAAAAATATGCTTCAATCTGCACTCTTATTTCATCAGTTCTCTACCTAGAGGTGGACGACACTTTATTTCACAAGTCTTTTGGAATTCGGGTGGATCATTGCATTGATCAGAGCTACTGAGTCTTTCCAAGTTGATTACCTTTGCAATACTGCTGTTACTGTGAAGACTGTTCTCTTGGTTCCACACTTTGTATCAGTTCATATAAATCTTCCCAGGTATTCCTAAAACTATCCCCCTCATCATTCCTCACAGCAAAATAATATTCCATCACATTTATATACCATAACTTGTTCAGCCATTCTCCAACTGATGGACATCCTTTCAGTTTCCAATTCTTTGCCAACACAAAAAAAGAGCTGATACAAAAATTTTGGTACATTTTTTTTTCTTTGACCTCCTTGGGGTACGGGTCAAACGGTATGCATAGTTTTATAGCCTTTTCGACATAGTTCCAAATTGTTCTCCAAAATGGTTGAACTAGTTCACAACTCCACCAACAGTAATGTTTATCTTTGTTGAACATCCTACTCCACTAAGTAAATCTTCTTTTAATTACTGTTGAATGACTTACAGGTGTCTCATTTCATTCCAATATTGAACATAAACTACTGGGGGCCCAGTCAGAATCAAGCCCAGGCCAGAACACAACCCAAATATATGCATATTTACTTACAAAGTATATACATTATTGTACTAATATGTACATTAAAAAGATATTTAAAAGTGAGATAAAGCAGAAGTATAAACAATATTTAAAATATTTTTATTATTAAGAGTACAAAAAACCTTTTCTTGCTCTTAAGAGCAAGGTGGTTGAATATACATCATTTTTTAAAAAAATATCTGTGCTTGTACTGGGGGATACAGCAGATTTGCAAATAACCGTTTGTTAGTAACTTATTGTTCAGTTAATTTAGTCAAATGTAGCTAAACAAATAGGTGAGTTTTTTTATTTTTTATTTAAAGATATAAAATAATAGGCCAAAACATTATATTAGTGAGCATAACAGCTTCAGTTAAGTTAAAAAGCACTTATTTTTAGCAGGAATAAAAAAAAAACACAAAAAGTGAATTATTTTAACTCAGAAATTTTTTAGTATAAATCCATTTTTCTTTCTTTACATGACTTTGCTCAATGGATAGTATTATACCATAATTTCCTATTTCATGTTTGGTATTATTGTGTTTGTGTATGAAAAGTTGTGTTTGTGTAAGGAAAAGTGTGTGCGTGTATATTGAGAGAGAGAGAGAGAGAGAGAGAGAGAGAGAGAGAGAGAGAGAGAGAGAGAGAAAGGCTCTAGTAGAAAGCTAGGTTGGAGTTAAGATGTGAAAGGCTCTAAATGCTAAACAGTAGCTTCTATTCTTCCTACAGGTAATAAGGGGCCACTGGAGTTTATTAAGGTGGTGGGGGTTGAGCTGCACTTCAGGACAATTAGTTTGGCAGGCATATAGAGGGTGGATTGTAGCACAGAAAAGACCTGAAGCAGCCAGCAGGGTTATTTCCATAAAACAGGTAAGAAGTGAAGAGGGCCCCAACAGGGGTAGTAGGGGTAAGAGTAAAGAGAAGTGTCGATGAGGGAGACATTGTTGAGACAAAATTGGCTAGACCTGACAAGTGACAGGATCTGGGGATTGAGAGAGAGGGTAAGTACAGTGAAAGATGATTCTCAGGTTTCAATCCTGGGTGACTGAGAGGGTAGTGATGCCCTCAAAAGAAAATAGGTATTGTATCAAGTAAATCCAATAAAGGTAAACTGAGGTACAGAGTCTGAGCAAGATGTTTTTTGACAGTGACAAAACGGGTCAGACTGGCCACCTCAGTAAAGTCAGGGGACCCTCTTTACTGACACATAATGAAGGAGGAGTCTTGGTAGGCATGAAAAAAAGGTGATAGGTTGCAGTGTTGGGGCAGGAACATTACAAGTGGCTATACTAAGAAAGGCAGGCTGGCATTCAGATGAGGCTGATCATGCCTCTAACAATTTGTTGAGTCATGCCTGACTCTTCGTGGGCCCATTTGGTGCTTTCTTGGCAGAGATACTGGAGTTTTTTGCCATTACCTTCTCCAGCGCATTTGTCAGATGAAGAAACTGAAGCTAACATGGTTAAGTGACTTCCCCAGGGTAACACAGATAGTAAGTGTCTGAGACCAGATTTGAACTCAGGAAGATGAGTTCCTGACTCCAGACCTGGCACTCTATCCACTGGACCACCTAGCTGCCCCTCTAACAACTGAGAAATGTTATTTTTTTTTTATGGTACTCATCTATATCTTGTAGTCTTTGCTAGGAGATCACAACTATGAGTTAAACAAAGAGGTCTTCTCCCTTCCATCAATATAGTTTCCAGAAGTTAATGATCTTATCACTGATCACTTTCTCTAAGAAATGCTTTAGCTTCTGTTCTGTTCACTTTCCTGAGGGGAGAAGTAAAGAAAGTATCTTAGAAGAAAATATTCTTAATATTTTCAGTTTTACTAAAAAGGATGTTTTAAATATGTATCCACAGGGATTAAGGGGATGAAATTTTTCAAATGGTACCTGCACAGCTGCTGACATGGGTGACCACTTAGAGGTTAGGCTATAACTATTTAGGCTATAACTACCCTAAGGGAATAACAGTCTTCTCAGAAGAGGGGAGACGAGGAACTTGCATAAGGAAAGGGAGGAGGTGGAGTGGGGGAATGCTGGGGCACTAAGGCTGGACGTGGTTGTGTAGGGTGTCTCCAAGCATGGTTATTGCTGGGAAAGTGGGATACGACCCATCTTCCCACATTCAAGTGAGTCAATTGGTCACAGGTTCCTAGGGATCAGGCCTTGACTCCCCAGAGGGTTCCAGATTCCCCTCCCTAGAGATCACTGTTCTAGAAGACCGCATGACTCTGAAATTTAAATGAAAGTATTGTCACCAGAAAGTTCTGATCTCTTAGGAGAACTCCCAGAGAACTAGAGGATGACAAAAGAATATTGGTCCCAGCAGTTACAAGTAAAAATAATTTTCAGGATATAAAAATCAGTTGACTAGTGGTAAGTCAGCAGCAAACAAGTGAATGAGAACAAAATAGAGGGCCTGTGGGTTCTGAAACCAGAACAGCTCACCCAGGATGACTGCCACCAACTGCTAAAGTCATAGGCCTGAAGCCCAAAAGAATTAGTTAGTTTCAAGCAGGATAAGGAAATAGGTTTTGTAGATTTGGGTATAAAAGACTAACTCAATAGATAACAATAGCTAGCATTTATATAGAACTTTGAAGTTTGCCAAGCAAATCAGTTGACCCTTACAACTCCTCGAGGTGGGTACTACTGTTATTTCCACTTTATAGATATTTCCATTTTATAAACTAAGCTGAACAAAAAGGAAACTGAAGCAACAACAGAGTTACTCAGCTAGCATATGATGCAGAATTCAAACTGGGGCCTTCTTGACTCCATGTTCTTATTTACTAGGCCACCTGGATGCTCAATAAATAAGGAAATCAAAACAACCTATTGTGTTGCTTAAAAAGGGCTGGAAGTTCAATTAAATTTTAAACTTCTTATTCAGGGCTTACAAGGGCCTGTGCTTGGGCTAAGGGTACAAAGATTAATTTTTTAAAATTACTCGTATCTGCCCTCAAACAATTTACTGGGGGTGGGGGTGGGAGTGGGATGGACACACACCTAGAAGAATATAATACAAGGAGGTCCATTTTGATGATGATCAAAGGATTAATCGAGACAAAGTGTCACAAAATATTTCTCACATAAAACATATTTTATATATATATATATGTGTGTGTGTGTGTGTGTGTGTGTGAGAGAGAGAGAGAGAAAGAGAGAGAGAGAGAGAGAGATACACACACATTATAAACCATGAGGCAGAAAAAGCAGTGGTTTCAAAATTTCAGTCTTGTGATTTGCTTTTATATTTTGGGAAATCTTAAAACATGAAAAGAGGTCATGGAACTGAATTCAGAATAAAAGCAGATATTTGTTCCTTCTATCTCCATTGACTTGCATCCCGAGTGAAAGGAATTGACGAAATTTGATAATTCCTGCCTTGTAAATTTATTGAGCCATGTATACTCATAGTCTAATTATAGTAATCTGTAGAGGCAAGATCTGTGTATAAGAGGACAGGTATTGCATACCTAGGGCAGTTCCTGTTCCTTTAACATCTCTGGAACCATTAAAGTTGATTCACACTCTGGGAAATGTTAGGTCACATATGTATCATTGAGAGCTCCAACTATTTGTTTTCTATGGAATGATATTCAGGCCAGACTAGCCTGGGACTGGGGAAAATGTTAAAGGAGCAGAAACTCCTCTGGGGATGCGATTCTTGGCCTCTCTTACACAGCAATCTTTTCCCCCCATGTGGCAGGAAAAAGTTAATTTAATAAGACTTTTCATATTAAACACATTTTAAGAATTTCTGCATTGTAAATACTTGGGAAGGCAGTTTATCGTAACGTTACCAAGAGAGAATTTTAAACGCTCAGAAGCGCCTCAACGAGACAAAAAGCTTGGCCCTCCCAAAAAAACAGGTAAAGTCGGAAGGGCTCGGGCATGACTTTCTAGGCTGTTCTCCCAGGCAACCACGTCCAGCCGAACTGTCCTCCCCGGGATCACCCTGCATACCATACCCCAAGCCTGGAGGCCATTCTGCGGGTCTAGCTTCACTCAAGGTTCTGCTCATGCGCCGCGGGCACAGCTCTCCCTCCCTTTACTCATCTCCATCCGGCTGCATCCCACCCCCACGTAACCCCCTGAGGACAGGCCCTGTGGTTCACATTTGTCTCTGTATCTCCGATATCTAGCAAGGTATCGTTTATCTTACACTTAATAAAAGCTCGCAGAATTGAATTTAATTAGGAATTTGAAAAGCGGACGAAGAAATGCGGTAAAATTGCAGGTTTCAAGGACGGAAAACTGAGGCCCAAGGGAGGAGAAATTACACTTCGTCTCAGCTGCCTCTAATTCAAACCCATGTCAACTGTCTCTAAATCCAGTTTTCTTCTCACTCCATGAGGAGGAGAATCAACAGGTGTGACGTAAGTATCCCGGTTCCAGGTACTGGGGAAAACAGAGGAGGAAAGAAAGGCAAAGTCCTCCTAGGCCGCGGTCGCCACGGAGGGTTTCCTGGAGGAGGGTGTTCCACCAACTAACTATAAGCCTTCCAAGGACAGAAACATTCATTCCCACCTACTCTCATGCAGCATCGCGGGAAGTCCCCAAAGCGGAGTCGGCGAATGTGGTTTACACGATTGGCTAGAGGATTGATTGACAGCCGTAAAGACACCGCCCCTCCCCGCCCCTCATTGGGCGCCCTCGGCAGGTGGGCGGGTCAGGGTAGTGGGGGGGGAGGGGAAGGGGTGCTGTGGCCTTCTCCTCCTCCCGTAAAGGGCACGGCGTTACTCTTCAAGATGGCTGCGGCGGCACTGCTCCGCTGGGCGGGTCCAGGCCTCGGCAGTTCCGTGTGGGGGCTGCCGTTTGGCACGGGACTGAGGCGCCGCCTGAGCCTCGGCAGCGGCAGCGACGGGGAAGGCAGCGGCGGTTGGTTGTACTTCCCGCTGCGCGATCGGGACGCGCTGCGCGTGCACGGGCCCGATGCAGAACCGTTCCTTGTGGGGCTGCTGACCAATGAGCTGCCGCGACCGGGCTCTGGGGGCGGGGCACCGTCCCCTGAGTCGGCCCCGGCGCGCGCGCACTACGCTCACTTCCTCAACGTCCAGGGCCGGACGCTCTATGACGTCATCCTCTATAGGTGCGATGGGGTTGGCGGGTAGGAGGATGGGCAAAACCATTCGTAAGGCCGGAAGGGGGGCAGAGTTACTGTATCAAGCCGTTCTATGTGGGTGGTGGGGGGGATAGAGGAAGAGAAGAATTGTTGGTGCCTTTTATTAATATCAGTATAATAATAGCTGACGTTTATTGCTTCTTGAGTGCGTCACACACATTTCACTTGACTTTAACAAACCTGCTAAATAAGGAATGTCGGTATCCTTATTAAAAGACATCATGACTTATTTCCTACCGAGCTTACCTTAGAGACCGAAAGTGGAGAGTTCCTCTGTGCCTCTAGCACAGCCTTGCTGTGTGACCCTGAGTAGGTCACTTAACTTCACAACTCTTAGACATAGACCATCTCTCCCAGACTATGTCAGAGGTGCCCACCTGCATCGGTAAAGTGAGTTTCTTCGTACCAACGAAATGACTGGTCCATATACCTAATAATGGTCATAATACTAATAATAATAATAGCTAGCATTTGTACAGAGCTTACTATGTATGCGCCAGACACTGCTAAGCGCTTTACAATTACTGTCGCATTTGATCCTCACAGGAGCTCTGTGAGGTAGGTGCTATTATTATCCCTATTTTACAGATGAGGAAACTTGAGGCAAACAGTGTAGTTAAGTGACTTGTTCAGGGTCTGCCAAATGACATTCTGTATCCCTGAGTATTCTTGTCCCCAATTTACAGATGAGGAAACTGAGACTTTGAGAGGGGAAATGACTTGGGGTCAGTATGGCTAGTGTCAAACGTAGGTGTCCTGACTGGAAGATGCCATACTGCTGCCTGCAGAATCGTGAAAGTCATTCTAATAGTAGCTGACATTTATGTAGTACATTGCAGTTTTATGTATATTATCGTGAAACTCACAACAGTCCTATGAGGTAGATACAGTATTCTTATCCCTGTTTTTCAGATCAGGAAGCTGAGCTTCAGGGTAAATTTGACTTACTCAAGATTAATAATTGTTATAATAATATTGTAGCGTTGATCTCATTAATAGCCTTTTTAAGTTTCTGTGTTATATTTACATTATGTTTACATTCTAATCACAATCCCAGGATGTGTGTAAGTCCTAGTATCTTAGAGATATGCCACTCTGTCGTTTTACAAAGGCAGTGGGGGAGGGAACAAGCATGTACCGAACATCTACTGTGAGCCAGGCACTGTGCTGAGCCATTTGCAAATGTTATTTCATCCTCACAAGAACCTTATAGGATAGGGGCTATTATATCTCCATTTTATAGATGAGGATGCTGAGGCAGAATAACTTGCTCAGAGTCACACAACCAGTTAGTCTCTGAGGATGGATTTGAACTCAGATCTGCCTGACTTTAGGTAGGTTTTGAGAAGCCGTGGTAAGATATTAGCTGGTCAGTCATTCAGCAGTTGTCTGCTGAGTGCTTCCCTATGTGCTGGTCACATGTCCAGCAAAACTCCCTGGTCCCCGATCTCTCCTTGTACCCTCCCCTCCAAAGTCAGCTAACTCACCCCCTGTGTCTGGTCCCAGTTTCCTTTCCTTTTCCTCCATGATCTCTCCAGAAGAAAGGGATCTCTTCTTTGGGATGTCTGCCTAGGACTGCTTATCTGGCTCTCTCCTTTGCACCTCTCATTCTCCCTCCTGTTCAGTCAGAGTTTTAGTCGTTTCTGGTTCTTTGTGACCTCATTTTGGGGTTTTCTTGGCAAAGATACTGGGGTGGTTTGCCATTTCCTTCTCTAGCTCATTTTACAGATGAGGGAACTGAGGCGAACAGGGCTAAGTGACTTGCCCAGGGTCATATAGCTTGTGCTATATGTGCCAGAGAACTAGTTTGAAAGACTGAAGATTAGTCTTCCTGATTCCAAGCCCAGTGCTCCATCCACTTCGCCAGGGTCTCAGGATTTGGGGTTGGGCCTTGGAAATTATCCGGTCAGCCCCCCTCATTTTATATTCCCCAGGTGGTTGTGATTTCCCAGTGTCACCCTGCTCATTACTTTGTAGGTGAATTCCATCATTGGACCTTCCTCCACCCACGCCCTTACCCTCCCATTGTAAGTCCCCCAGTAGCTGTCAGTTTCATTTCTGAGCTTGTATCCCCAGCCCTCAGTGTGAGGTTTTGGGGTCTGGGGAAAGGCCACACATTAGGTGTATCAGTCATGCATTTATTAAGGGCCTGTTTTGTCACAGTCGCTGTGCTAGCCACGGAGGCAAGGAAATAAATAGTGTGCATGCAAGCTTTCCCCACAGGCTAGAGAGCAGCCTTTATCTGTGGGTGTCTGTTATCTGTTAACTGTTATCAGCCCAGCACAGCTGAGGCCCAGGCTTGGCCCTGGCTCTGTTTGCTTACATGCGCCTCACCCTTCAAAGGGCCTTCTTGTCCCGTCACATCCAGTTTGGGCAGTTTTTTATTGAACTCATAAGTGTGGTGGGGCAGGGAGGAGAGGAAAGGGAAGTGGTGAGGCACTCGTAAACAGTCCGGTTGTTGGCCACTTTGGTGAAGTGGAAAGAGCACTGAATGTAGAGTCAGGAAACCTGGATTCTTCTTGTGGCTCTTACGCCGGGTATAGCTGTGGGACCTGGAGCAAGGTGCTCACCCTCTAGACCTCAGTTTCACTTGGTTACACAACCAGACCTCACAGGGTCATTTATAAGGAAAACACCTTCTAAAGCTCAGAGGGCTATAGAAATGAACTCTGTCATCATTGTTAATGTCTTGTTGTCATTATTGGAGAGGTGGGATTCACAGACAGACATTGGAGAAAAAATGAAAGACTGTCTCATCAGGATTAACCCAAAGACAGCCTAGAGCCAGGAATGGAGTAAGTACCATGAGCAGCCGGGAAAGGAAAGACCAGGATGGGCCAGAGTTAGCAGGGAAGACTTCCTGGAAGAGGGGGCCCTGACGTCTGTGTTGGAGGATTGGGGCTTTGGCTTTGTTTTTTACCTTTATAAAGGCTGCTTATTGTCAGGGCCTGGTAATTGAAGGCCAACCCCTGCTCAATACTTTTTCAAGCCTCAGTAAAGGGTCTTTTTTTTTTTCATCCTCACTAGAAAATAATTTTGACCTTTTTTATTGTGTATATTGTGCGTTTTATTGTTCTTGCCCTTTAATTCAAGGGATTTTTTTCTTTTATGTTTTCTATTTTATGAATGAGCCTGACAAACATTAACATCTCAATGCATGAAGAATATACAAAGAGAATTGTATATGAATCTCTTGTCACACATAGTCTATCCTTTAAAAATGTATGTCAAATTTATCCAAATAGTAACCAAATTGCTCTGCTTGTCAGTGTCCCATTCTGACCTTCCTTCTCTTCTCCTCTGTATTTTTAAAATGTTTCAGATTGTTTTTTCCTTCTTCCTTGTGCATTGCTATCACTGCCCATCAGCTTGCCTTCTCGTGTAACAAACTAGTACCACAGAGATGAGCAAAACCGATTTATGCCTCTGCCTGCCCCTCTCGTCATCACCTCTGTGCCCAGAGGTGAGAAGCACGCTTCACCGTCAGTCTCCTGGAGTTGTGATTGGAGTTCTTAAGTCTTGCAGCACCGCCATTTTCCTTTGTGCTCCTGCAGTCATCGTTCGAGTTGGTCTCCTGGTTCCACTGCAGTTGTTCTAGAGGGGTGATTATTAAGCCCCTACCTTGTGCCGCACCAAGCATGGAGGTCTGGGGGGACAGTGATGGATATGGCACAGACCTCGCTGTCAGGGAGCTTCTGATTTAATGAGGGAGAGAGCATCATGTGCACAAAGAATTAGGCTTTAAGGGAGAGTGAAAAGTGCGGCTGCCAGTTTTAGGAGGTTTTCTTCCCATTGGGCCATTAGCTTTAACTTTCACCTGTGGTTCCTCCTGCTGATCTCAGTGGCCAAGCAGAGCCAGTCTGACCCCTCTAACATGTGACAGTTCTTCAGATGCTTAAAGAAAGTGATCAGTTTTCTCCATCTATGTCCCCAGGCCCAGACAGAGAGTGCTCTAGTGATTCAGAGAAGAGAGAGGTCATTGGAGGGCTGGGCTTGTCTAGGATAAGGCTTCAACTGAAGACGTAGGGTTGGAGCTGGCCATATAGAATGGGGAGGATTGGATAGCCAGAGAGGGGAGGCAGGAAAGCTCCATGGGGGAGGGAGCATTTTCAGACGTGATTGGTGCACAAATTAATTTTGTTTGACTATAATACTTATTTGTTAGAAGGGAAGGCAATGGTGGGTATGCAGGAAGGAAGAAGAAAACATTGGGCTTTAAAAGAAGAGGGGGATTTCAGCAGAGGTTTTCGGGGGCTGGTGTAGAAATGAGAGAAGCCGGCATGGATGAGGACAACAGACAGAGGGTGGACTAGAATGGAAAGCATGTGAAAGGGAGTGGTTTGAAATTTGCCTGAAAGGTACAATAGAACCAGATTGTGGAGAGCCTTGAATGCCAGGATCAGGAGTTTATACTTTATTTGGTAGACAGTGGGATGACAGGATCATAATTGTGTTAGCAAGACGATTTCAGCTGCATATGGAGGTAGGAAGACCGGTTTGGAGGCTGTTAGAATAGTCCCCACAAGTGTGATGTCTTCCTGGACAAGAGTGTTCGCACTGAAAGCTGAGAGGGGGTAAATGGGAGAGAGGTGGGGGTAGGAGCCATAGGCCTTGTCAATTCTCCTCCCCATCCAGACCTCCTCAGTGAAATGTGGGTCAGAGTTCTGGGTGGGTAACCTGGCACCATTCACATTTCTTCCCATAGTCTCCTGTTGTGATGCCTAAGGTCAGTGCTCTGGCTGTGGCCAGGGAAAGGGGGTGGTTCTGTGGCCAAGGTTAGGAGGTGGTTTGTTGGTTTTTTAAAACCAGATCCTTGCTACAAACTTATTTTGCTGCAATTAACCTTATGACTTAAGTTTTTCTTGTATCCTTTTTCTTTCAGGGAAAGTTGAAATTGGCCCTACGCTCAGCCAGTTAGATACGCTTGAGTAATCAATCCATCAACCAGCACATGGTGAACTGTTCTT